TAACTCAGGGCTCCTGTGCGCCAGACAAATCCAACTTTTCAGGTCTCAGACAAGTTACTCATCCCACCAGCGTGGTCACCAAACTACCTGTGTTCCTCTCCATCCCCCTTTGACCTCCTCCTTGAAGAGACCCATCCAAGTAACAGGACCAATGCCTGGGCTTTAGCTCAGCAGGCTAACACATTCTTAACCCAGTCAGTCACATTACCCTTATGACTACCCTTGCCGGAGACTTGGAACTAACACGTCTAACATGTATTAGTGTAGCAGATGGGTATCTGTGAAACTCACTCCTCAGCCTAAAGTGTCGCTCCTTGCGCAATTAAACAAGGTATTTTTTAATAGCACGATGGGTTGGAATGCTTCAGGAGGGCGGTCACGTGTGTTTACGAGGCAGAAGTCCTGAGTTCGAGTCTCCTTATGAACTGAATCAGAGGGAAGCGGTCCTCGCTAAGCAGGCAGCGTGGCATCCTTTACAATGGTGCCACTGGACTCAGATCTACAGTTGCACTCAGTTTAACCACTGGGGTCGATGTGGAGTGAGTTTGGGGGTGAATGTAGCAGATGGGGATCTGTGAAACTCACTCCTCAGCCTGAAGTGTCGCACCTTGCGCCATTGAAGGAAGTCTTTTTCAATAGCGCGTTGGGTTGGAATGCATTGTGACATGCAGGAGACCTGGTTTGAACCCAGTCAGTCACAAGAGCAAGATTGAATAGGGAGTGGAAAGGCTATCCTGAGGGGTTATAACAGGGCTATTCAACTATATTCTTATGGGGGCCAAATTGTGTTTTTTGTGACACTCCCTTCTAACGTGTCCTGCGCGGCATGTGATCATCATAGAGGGGAACAGAAAGCACATCCATGTTTCAGAGAGTCTAAGCTTTCAGGAATGGGGTCATGGTAGCATATATACCAAAACGGTTCAAATGGTAGAGCCAAATTCATAAGGAAGGAAATAAATTAAACATGCCACATTAGCTTCAGAAACCACCAGAAACGTCTGTTTACCACAGAGAGCGTTTTATTATATCTGTTCTCCTCTACCTTTCCTGGCTGCCAAAGTACCAGGATGTTGTCTCTGGTTTTGAATTGGAATTTAGATAACTGAATTAGAAAACTGAATCTGAATGCATCTGAGAAGTTGAATATATGAAACAAATTAAAATATTAAATAATAGTTTGTAAACTTGATACACAGACAATAAATGCAATATTTATCATATTGAAACTGAATATATAAATATTGAATTTGAATATTCAATTAAATTGAAATTGAATTTTTAAAGGAATGCAATATTCATTAAATTCAGTTTCAAATCATGAAATACAAGTTCAAGTTATGAATTATATCATTCAATTTGTGCATTACAAATTCAAATTCTATATCCTAATACAAATTCAAAATGATGTAGCCTAATTCAAATACAATTTCTGTTTGCAATGAAATCACTCACAGTTTTCCAGACATAAGGTCTGCATGAGAGATTGGGAAGGCGAGTGAAATAGGGCGAGTGTGAAAGCGAGACTGACAGCGGAGCCCAGAACGTGAGCGTGTCAGCGCATCATGCCAGTAGTCTACCGCAACACAAACGACCAACATTTGCCAGTAGCACTACTATGTCCTAAATCCGTTTGCATTAAATAACATTCAAAATGAACACACACTCCAGCATTAAAAAACAAAGAAATGCATTTACATTTGTCAGGAGAGCATCGTGGAACAGCCTACGCATAGGCATCTCCTAACCTACATGTTATTCTAACAGCCGTAGGTAAAAACTTGACTGTAATCTACTCCCAATTTTCAATATAAAGTTACAATGGATGCAATATTCAAATTATAAACTTGAGAAGAATAACAATATATTTTTCCTTAAAACTCTTCAACAAAATCTAATTGAATGATTAATAAAACATGCGCCCCTCGAATGCTGATGTATTACGTAAAATAAACAACATTAAACATACATACGGTTGGTGATGCAGGTAGTTTGAAGGCTTCAATCGATAATTATGTTGTAAATTGTTCAATAGTTCCAACCGTTGCAGGACAGTTCCTTCTTTCCAACAGTCAGGGCGCCGCGCTTCCAGTGCTGGCGAAAACAGAGGCCAGACCGGTCAGCGGTATAGAGTATATTTGCGTCAGAACGTGTCTGTCCAATGTGCACAGCGCAGGACTTGCCACTCAAACAATATCGAATAGAAATAAATGTAGGCTATTTAGACTAGCCTACTTAAACATTATCAATGATTAAAAACAACAATCACAAAGACAAAAGGCATACAAAAATATCAAACATTTATTATGGCTGTAGCCTACAATGCTGAAAAAGTACATAATTCAAATCATATTAGAGAGTGTCAATGATTCGTGTTTCAGTGATTGAGAATAATTTCACACTGTCATACAATAAAGACCATACATGAATACATTACAAACAAATTACATTATTCCCATATTTAAAAAAACGATTAAAACTTAATGTAGGTCCAACAAATATTTAAAAAATAAGTATACTAAGGTCTACTAAGATAAATCAGTTAGTCAGATATAGGCTATGATTGACATAATGCACCCATGATATCTCAAATAATAATCTCATGTACAGTATCATACATAACTCAAAGACCCTGAGTACAGACAATTCACTAGAATGTCAGTTGAACAATATTCAAATAAAGTTTGTCCAAGATTCTCAACAAATCATATAATAACACAATTATGACTCAAGAATAACTACATTTCAGTTATACATCTATAATAAAACATTATAAATCTGCATTGTAAAATCTTGAACATCATACCACATAATTATCATTTTAACTAATGCCCAGCATGATATTGTTGCTGTATCACCAATAGTTTTTTCACAGTTACAAGTACTTACACATACATCTTGAAAATATGCCTGGCACCATAGAGATCCTATTAAATTACAGTATTTTAATTATTAATTCTATGCCATGCACTAAATGCTGAATTTAGCCTTGGGGTTGTCCTTTATTTATTTTTTATCCAGACGAAGAATGTTAGACATTCTCAAATCAGTGGAAATCTAGTGTTCAAGTGTTTCACAGAAACATGGCTGATTGATATTTGATAGATGTTTGGAATGGATTAAGTGAGGGTTTTCAGACATGAATGACCTGAACACTGTGTGCTCTGTTAAGTCATCTGTCCTAGGGACTCAGTGGTGGCTCCTCCTGCTCACTGATGGTGTTGTAGTACTGAGGCTGGGTCTGGACCAATGGGGAGTCTGTCTGGGAGAAGAGGGATGTCCGGCTCTTTGGGGTCCTCCGCAGAAACTTGCCTGAGGTCACCAGGTCACCGTAACCCTGGGCGTGGGAGAAGGCATAGCCTGACCGGCGGGTACTGGTGCGGCGGGCTTGGACACGGCGAGGGGCAGGGGGCAGCACCTTGTTCTGTCTCTCCTTGTACCTCACCTAGAGGGGGAGGGATGGGGAGAAATGAGAGAGACAGTGAGGGAAAAGTAATAATTTGTGAATCTTCTATGCCAATGACAAATATGTTGACCCTCGACCTCTGACCTTGTCATTGATAGTGGGCCACAGCAGAATGCGCAGGAACCGGTATGCCACCACGGGAAGCACACAGAGGATGGAGGTGAGTAGCATGGTCAGCCACACGTTGGGCTGGTTCAGGGAGTTCCTGGCTGTGCCTGTTACATACAGTACAGCATGACAACATGCATTCAGATACAGATACTTGCCTACATAGTGACAGATACTGTAACAAATACTGACAGATGATGTCACCGACTGACATACCTATGAACACACACACCACAGTACTACCAAACGTTCAGATAGAAAGGCATGAATTATGAAGGGAGAGGAGGTGGATGGATGGGGGGTGCTGAAGGGTACTACTCACCAATGAAGGGGAAGGAGGAGGTGAAGATGAGGAACATGCCATTGCTGTACATGGTGAATATGACAGCAAAGTACACAGACAGACTGCCCCACAGGAAAAATTGGTTCATTGCTGTCCAATAATGGGTGTCCAGACCCAGCTTTAACAAAGACACATGCAGCTACCTCAGACTCTGTTACTATGTGTGTCTGCGTGTGTGTGTGTGTGTGTGTGTGTGTGTGTATTTATGTGGACATGGTTTCGCCTCAGCTGAAACCCCACCCAACATGAATTCACAGGACATTCATGTACCACCACAAACTGAATGTCGTATCATAAGTCAATGCTCTCCCCCTACTTACCTGTATATTGACGGCGATGAGCAGGCAGGTCTGGGCCAGCAGGGCGAAGGACTGGTAGTCCACAATGTCTTTGCCGTCATCTCGGACCGTGTCGTGCATGGCTGCCCAGGGGATGAAGAAGAGGACCAGGGAGCTGTAGCCGCTGTGTAACACCGTGTAGACAAAGGCCCTCTTACTGAAGAACTGGTTCAGCTGGCCTGGAGCGTAGAGCTGGGGATACTGGAAACTCCACCGGTCATTCACATCCTAAAGAGAAACACGTGAATACAAACATCTTAAGTACATACATTGGAATAAATACTTGGTGTGAATAATATGCCACTGACGTACATTACAGATATGTCAGATATGTCACTATGATTACCTGGTCAAAAAGACTTAAGCTGAGCACAGGTAGAGCTGTGTAAACTAGGTTATACAGGGTGATGAACCACTCGTCATACACCGTCTGTGGGGAAAACAACACAGCATACACACATAACATACATGACAGAGTTTTTCCTGGCCTGGTCATGTGCTCAGGAAAAACCCCTGGCACTAGTGAAAATATAATTTACTAAATGAACCAAAACATACTTTCTTTGCTTGACAAAAAGAGGAACCTCAGACAGCTTTTCACTCATGCCTCTATCTGTCTGTGTGTGCATTTTTGTCTCACCTGTGCTGAAAAACCGCAGAAGAAGCCGTACCAGAAGTGGACAAAGGTGAAGGTGAAGTTCTTGTAGAAGAAGTAGCGCAGGAACTTGCACATCCTCAGGTAGGACCAGCGGCCATGCACCAGCAGGAGGCGTTGCAGGTAGCGGAACTGAGCGAAGGAGTAATCACTGGAGAGCACCGCCTGCATACCCTCCTGACCTGATATGCCCACCCCTATATGAGCAGCTGGAGGAGGAGAGAGCGGAAGAGAGGGCAAGAGAGAGGGGTGGAGGGAGAGAGAGAGTGAGAGGATGAGTGTGTGCTTGTGTGTATGAGTTGATTAGAGGAATCATATAATAGCAGTCAAACCTTTAGCATCAGGATCAGGATACTTCAACACTGTCCCAGTATTTAACTAGTTCATATAATCGGATTCGCTCTCCAGTCTCCCCATCTCCCTCCTACCCTTGATCATGCTGACGTCGTTGGCCCCGTCGCCGATGGCCAGAGTCACTGCCTGTTTGTACTTCTTCACCAGCTCCACCACCTGGGCCTTCTGCAGTGGAGTCACCCTGCAGCAGATCACTGTCTGACACATACACGCCGTCCGCAGCAGCTCCATCTCCATGTCCTTCTCCAGGGCAAAGGCCTTGGGGTAGAGGGAGGAGGGAGAGGGATGGAGGGGGGAGAGGGATGGAGGGGGGAGAGTGAGATGGGGCAGGATGGAGGGGGGAGAGGGATGGAGGAGACAACAAGTGTGTGGTTAAAATTGGCAAAAAACACACACATTTCTTTCCACAGGGCCGTGGGGTGAGACATGGATGCAGTTTAAGCCCCACCCTCTTCAACATGTATATCAATGAATTGGCGAGGGCACTAGAACAGTCTGCAGCACCCGGCCTCACCCTACTAGAATCTGAAGTCAAATGTCTACTGTTTGCTGATGATCTGGTGCTTCTGTCACCAACCAAGGAGGGCCTACAGCAGTACCTAGATCTTCTGCACAGATTCTGTCAGACCTGGGCCCTGACAGTAAATCTCAGTAATACAAAAATAATAGTGTTCCAAAAAAGGTCCAGTTGCCAGGACCACAAATACAAATTCCATCTAGACACCAATGCCCTAGAGCACACAAAAAACTATACATACCTCGGCCTAAACATCAGCGCCACAGGTAACTTCCACAAAGCTGTGAACGATCTGAGAGAAGAAGAAGGGCCTTCTATGCCATCAAAAGGAAGATAAAATTCGACATACCAATTAGGATCTGGCTAAAAATACTTGAATCAGATATAGAACTCATTGCCCTTTATGGTTATGAGGTCTGGGGTCCGCTCACCAACCAAGAATTCACAAAATGGGACAAACACAAAATTGAGACTCTGCATGCAGAATTCTGGAAAAATATCCTCTGTGTACAACGAAAACACCAAATAATGCATGCAGAGCAGAATTAGGCCGATACCCGCTAATTATCAAAATTCAGAAAAGAGCTGTTAAATTCTATAACCACTTAAAAGGAAGCGATTCCCAAACCTTCCATAACAAAGCCATCACCTACAGAGAGATTAACTTGGAGAAGAGTCCCCTAAGTAAGCTGGTCCTGGGGCTCTGTTCACAAACACAAACAGACCCCACAGAGCCCCAGGACAACAACAACAACACAATTAGACCCAACCAAATCATGAGAAAACAAAAAGAGAATTACTTGACACATTGCAAAGAATTTACAAAAAAACAGAGCAAACTAGAATGCTATTTGGCCCTAAACAGAGAGTACACAGTCGCAGAATACCTGACCACTGTGACTGACCCAAACTTAAGGAAAGCTTTGACTATGTACAGACTCAGTGAGCATAGCCTGGCAGACCTGGCTCTCAAGAGAAGACAGGCTATGTGCACACTGCCCACAAAATGAGGTGGAAACTGAGCTGCGCTTCCTAACCTCCTGCCAAATGTATGACCATATTAGAGACACATATTTCCCTCAGTTTACAGAGATCCACAAAGAATTCGAAAACAAAGGCAATTTTGATAAACTCCCTTATCTACTGGGTGAAAAACTACAGTGTGCCATCACAGCAGCTAGATTTGTGACCTGTTGCCACAAGAAAAGGAAAACCAGTGAAGAACAAACACCATTGTACATACAACCCATATTTATGTTTATTTATTTTCCCATTTGTACTTTAACTATTTGCACATTGTTACAACACTGTATATATACATAACATGACATTTGAAATGTCTTTATTCTTTTGGAACTTTTGTGAGTGTAATGTTTACTGTTAATATTTATTGTTTATTTCACTTTCGTTTACTATCTACTTCACTTGCTTTGGCAATGTTAACATACGTTTCCCATGCCAATAAAGCCCTTAAATTGAAATTGAAATTGAATTGGAGGGGGGAGAGTGAGATGGGGCGGGATGGCGGGGGGGAGAGGGAGGAGGGAGAGGGATGGAGGGGGGGAGAGGGAGAAGGGAGAAGGGAGAGGGATGGGAGGGGGGGAGAGGGAGAAGGATGGAGGGGGGGGAGAGGGAGAAGGGAGAGGGATGGAGGGGGGGGAGAGGGAGAAGGGAGAGGGATGGAGGGGGGGAGAGGGAGAAGGGAGAGGGATGGAGGGGGGAGAGGGAGAAGGGAGAGGAAGGGAGAGGGAGAAGGGAGAGGGATGGAGGGGGGAGAAGGAGAAGGGAGAGGGATGGAGGGGGGAGAGTGAGATGGGGCGGGATGGGGTGTTCATGAAATATTGGAACAATTCCATAGTGTTGGAACACGTCCTCTTTTCGCAAGAACCACAAACACACAAGGATTGACACAAGCCATCAAGACAGCGATTTTCATCGCTATAACCAATAGATTCCTCATTTTTTAAAATGTTTTATGTGTTTTGTTAATTTTAAAACATTGATTTTTTATATTATACGATCATCATTTAAAAACGTTATTATAACATCTGTCAATCAGGGCTCAGAATATGTAATGTTTACAGTAACTTGTCCTGTGACCCACCAGGGTCCTTGTCCTTACCAGACTGTGTCCGTTAATCACCATAGCGTACTCTCCATTCACCGGCTCATCCACCACTGTCTCCATCTTTATAAGACAAAATAGGCCACTTCTACTCTTCTTGACAGTAGGTTCCTCTGTTCCCATCAGGTGTCATCTTCCTCCTCGCAGTCCTGGTCAGGTAGAAAGGGAGAGGGAGATACTTTTACATGTTGCCTTACTGTGGTGCTTCAAGCTAGGAATGTGATTGTCAATAGTCTGTCTGTGGACTCACTGGAGTTCCTTTCTGACTTCCTCTGCTGTGTTTGCCGACACAATGAAAACCTCATTCATCTCCTCTCTCAACATGTTGCAGGAGTAGCCAATATTCTCTGCTGTTTCTGTTCCGACAGAGAGAAAAGAGAATCAGGAAGTGCCAGAGAATTTTTTTTGCCTATTGATAGTGTATTCTAAGGACGATAACCCACCTTGCTTGTCTCCAGTGAGCACCCAGATCTTGATGTCGGCTTTGGAGAGCTGTTCGATGGTCTGGGGCACTCCATCCTGTAGCTTATCCTCTACGGCAGTGGAACCTAACAGCTACACACACATACCGGTACAAACGGTAAGATTCAGTAAGAGTCAGTCTATGCCAGTAGATTGTCTTGCAGGGCTTTTGATAAGACATTGAAATGATATATTTTTCTGTGGTACACACCAGCAGGCCTTTCTCTATCTCCTCATAGAGCGCATCCAGCTTCTCCTCCCTCTCGTCCATGGCAGTGTTGGCCTCATGGTGGCGCAGTTTCCAGTCTGCCATATACTCTGGGTCTATGTCCTTGTAGGCTAGAGCCAGCGTACGCAGACCCTCCCCAGCATACTCCTGTCAATGGAACAGTTTAGAGTAATAATCCTATACACATGTACAGGGTTGGACACAGGATATAGTCAATCTTGTAAAATGTTATATACAGTCGTGGTCAAAAGTTTTGAGAACGACACAAGTATTGGTCTTCACAAAGTTCGCTGCTTCAGTGTTATGAGATATTTTTGTCAGATGTTACTATGGTATACTGAGGTATAATTACAAGAATTCCATAAGTGTCAAAGGCTTTTATTGATAATTAAATTAAGTTTATGCAAAGAGTCAATATTTGCAGTGTTGACCCTTCTTTTTCAAGACCTCTGCAATCCGCCCTGGCATGCTGTCAATTAACTTCTGGGCCACATCCTGACTGATGGCAGCCCATTCTTGCATAATCAATGCTTGTAGTTTGTCAGAATTTGTGGGTTTTTGTTTGTCCACCCGCCTCTTGAGGATCGACCACAAGTTCTCAATCGGATTAAGGTCTGGGGAGCTTCCTGGCCATGGACCCAAAATGTCGTTGTTTTGTTCCCAGAGCCACTTAGTTATCACTTTTGCCTTATAGCAAGGTGCTCCATCATGCTGGAAAAGGCATTGGTCGTCACCAAACTGTTCTTGGATGGTTGGAAGAAGTTGCTCTCGGAGGATGTGTTGGTACCATTCTTTATTCATGGCTGTGTTCTTAGGCAAAATTGTGAGTGAGCCCACTCCCTTGGCTGAGAAGCAACCCCACACATGAATGGTCTCAGGATGCTTTACTGTTGGCGTGACACAGGACTGATGTTAGCGCTCACCTTGTCTTCTCCGGACAAGGTGTTTTCCGGATGCCCCAAACAATTGGAAAGGGGATTCATCAGAGAAAATGACTTTACCCCAGTCCTCAGCAGTCCAATCCCTGTATCTTTTGCAGAATATCAGTCTGTCCCTGATGTTTTTCCTGGAGAGAAGTGGCTTCTTTGCTGCCCTTCTTGACACCAGGCCAAAAGTCTCCGCCTCACTGTGCGTGCAGATGCACTCACACCTGCTTTCTGCCATTCCTGAGCAAGCTCTGCACTGCATTGGTGGTGCCCCGATCCCGCAGCTGAATCAACTTTAGGAGACGGTCCTGGCGCTTGCTGGACTTTCTTGGGTGCCCTGACGCCTTCTTCACATCAATTTAACCTCTCTCCTTGAAGTTCTTGATGATAAATGGTTGATTTAGGTGCAATCTTACTAGCAGCAATATCATTGTCTGTGAAGCCCTTTTTGTGCAAAGCAATGATGATGGCACGTGTTTCCTTGCAGGTAACCATGGTTAACAGAGGAAGAACAATGATTTCAAGCACCACCCTCCTTTTAAAGCTTCCAGTCTGTTATTCTAACTCAATCAGCATGACAGAGTGATCTCCAGCCTTGTCCTCGTCAACACTCTCACCTGTGTTAACGAGGGAATCACTGACATGATGGCAGCTGGTCCTTTTAACCAGAATAGAAAGAGGAGTGGGAGGCCCCACCCGCTAAACACCAGTCTTAACGTCAACAGTGAAGAGGCGACTCTGGGATGCTGACCTTCTAGGCAGAGTTGCAAAGAAAATGCCATATCTCAGACTGCCCATCTTAATCTTTTATTTTTATTGGCCAGTCTGAGATGTGGCTTTGTTTTGCGGGTACTATTTAATGAAGCTGCCAGTTGAGGACCTGTGAGGCGTCTGTTTCTCAAACTAGACACTCTAATGTATTTGTCCTCTTGCTCAGTTGTGCACCGGGGCCTCCCACTCCTCTTTCTATTCTGGTTAGAGCCAGTTTGGGCTGTTCTGTGAAGGGAGTAGGACACAGCGTTGTACGAGATCTTCAGTTTCTTGGCAATTTCTCGCATGGAATAGCCTTAATTTCTCAGAACAAGAACAGACTGATGCGTTTCAGAAGAAAGTTATTTGTTTCTGGCCATTTTGAGCCTGTAATCGAACCCACAATACCTGATGCTCCAGATACTCAACTAGTTTCAAGAAGGCCAGTTGTATTGCTTCTTTAATCAGCACAACAGTTTTCAGCTGTGCTAACATAATTGCAAAAGGGTTTTCTAATGATCAATTAGCTTTTTAAAATGATAAACTTGGATTAGCAAACACAACGTGCCATTGGAACACAGGACTGATGGTTGCTGATAATGGGCCTCTGTACGCCTATGTAGATATTCCATTAAAAATCAGCCGTTTCCAGCTACAATAGCCATTTACAACATTTAAAATGTCTACACTGTATTTCTGATCAATTTTATGTTATTTTAATGGACAAAAAAATTGCTTTCTTTTGAAAACAAGGACATTTCTAAGTGACCCCAAACTTTTGAACGGTAGTGTATATTCACACGGTCCACAAGAAGTACATAATGCTAAACACACACACACACACACAAACACACACAGACACAGACACAGACAGACTGGTTACTCACATTGAGGTGCTCGGTGGTGACCTCCATTAGGTTGCTGCAGGAAGGGTTCAGTCTCTCAAAGATGATGGTGTCTGCTCCCTTACAGTACAGAGTTATCTTGCCCTCCGGACTGCGCACTTGGGGCCATACAAGATATAATCAGATTTGGTTTCAAGTCAACCGCTTACTATAAACCCACCAAAGTTTGAACAACTGTTATAGATTAATATATTCTTCATATCATTCAGATCATTCCAGATAGCTATGATTTCAGAACATATTTCCTAATAATTCTAAAGGCATAATGGTTAGTGTTGGTTGGACTCACCGATGACCGACATCCTCTTTCGGACATTGTTGAAGTCCAGAACAGCCAGCAGCTCGTAGGTGACCAGCTCTTCCATCTCCATCACAGTGATGCTCTCTGGCGTACGAGAGCGGAACACAAATCCAAAGTTCCTGGCTGCTGTGACCAGAGCTCCCTCATCTGGTGACTGGGCCTGGTAGTACAACTCACCTAGAAGATCACAATGGAGTGATTTATTTGTCACCGTGTCTAGCCTTAGTCTGGGTACCAGTCTTTTTAGCTAACATTCCACTCTTTGCCACGCCTGTCATTTGCCAGAGGAATGGCAAAGAGTGGAATGTTAGCTAAAAGGACTGGTACCCAGACTAGTCTAGCCTATGGAGTAGATAGAAGTTGTCCCAACCACTGATAACACAGATAGTTCTCCCATTAAGGGATAGGCATAGGTCTGTGGTGAGGTACAACTTCTTCCTCAAGCCTCCATAGTCACCCACACCAATGCAATAACATGTGAATCCAGCAGGAAGCACTTGCTCACCCTCCTTCTTCTCCTCGGGCATGACGGTGTGGCACAGTGCCAGCAGGCGGAAGAAGGCCTGCACCTCAGGGTTTCCCTCCCTCACCACCTCCACCAGGCTGTGGTCATGGAAACAGAACTTTGGGTCAGCCAAGTTGTTCCAAGAGAAGTCCACCTTCTCTGTTTTCTACCGGAGAGAGAAAAAGAGGGTTAGGAATATTTGTGCCACGGAATGTAAGGACTTACTGCCAAAGAAAGGGCCTTAGAGATTTTCTTTCATACATTAAATCCATAAACCCAACACACCATGTTCCTCCTCTCACCTCATTAATCTCAACTCTTTGTCCTGAAAAGTCCAACAACTCCCCTGGAGAACAGAAGCACATTTAGTCAGTTACATGGTACAGTGAGTGATAGGAGCCTATGTGTATTAAATTATGTCTTAATGTATTTGTGTGTGTAAACACATGATAACTGTTTATATGTGTGTATTCCAGCACCAGGCCTCACCATAGGACTTTCCGTTGATGGAGCACTTGTTGAAGGTCATGATGTTCTGTGTGAGAGTTCCTGTCTTGTCAGAGAAGATGTATTTGATCTGGCCCAGCTCCTCGTTGAGCGTGGTGGTTCTGGCCTCGGCAGGAGTGTCACTCTTGGGATAATACATCTTCCTGTCCCAGTCTATGTAGAAACTGTTCCCCAGGCGAATTATCTCCACACTGCACTCAATACACAGGAGGAAGAGAACGAAAGAGAGAGAGAAAGAAATTCAATCAATTCACTTTGATGATTAGTGGTGATGCAGTCCTGTCATCAAAGGCACACATAGAGACACATAGAGATGCACATGCAGTGAATGGCTAGATCAGGGGTGTCAAACTCATTTTGCCACAATCAGTCTTCAACGAGATCCGGAGGGCCGCACTGTAAATTGGTTATATTTCCTCGCCCTCAAAATGTGCAAAAAATTGTCATCTATCTATTTTTTTTTTTTATTGTCTATGCTCCCTGACTGTCTAGCTTTCATTTCAGTGATTATTAGCGAGCTGGACACATTATCATTTCTATATTTTGTTTTATTATAAAAATAGCAAAAATATATATTTGAAACTCCTATAGAATATATGAAGTGCACTGACCTGACGTAGAGAGATATAGGAACCACAGTGTTGAGGATTATGATGTAGGACCAGAAGGTGAGGAAGGCTGAGAAGGGAGCGTTAACCCCCTTGGGCAGGAAGGCAGCGAACTTAGAGCCGTCCTGGTATTCCCAGATCCCATTCCCAATGGCCAGGATTAAACACATAATCGCCAGGAAACCAAAGATCTGGAAGACCAAACACAACAGTTAAGAGGTGTGTGTGTATGTATGTGTGTGTATGTGTGTGTGTGTGTGTGTGTGTGTATGTGTGTGTGTGTGTATAATACTCATACTCACATTCAGCACCAGCACATTCATGAGGCGGTCAATGCTGGTCCGTTTGAATGTGGTCCTTCCGCAGTTCTGCATCAGCTTGGTGTCTGGACCTAAAAGAATGAATAGATCTATCATCAGTTGAGGATTTTTTTAAATGAACGTTTTGGCCATGTAAAGGGACACCCTAACCTGTTAGGTTATGTCTCTGCCATCATGTGGACTGAAAGGGCTCACCTCCAAAGACGACCAGGCCGAAGCACCACTGGGTGTTCCTCAGAGTGCAGCCTCTCAGCAGGATCCTCTCATTATCCAGGGAGTACGTCTCTCCCTTCAGGGTCAGGGTGCCAGTGAACTTATCAAGGCGGTTGTTGGGAGGCTCACAGCGCACCTCACCTACACAGGTACAGAGAGGTTCAGGGACTATATAACAGTGACTGATGAACAGTTAAGAGTATTCTAAATAATACAATCTAGACATTTAAGCCATAACAATCTATCCATTTTTCCAGTCTTACCATTGAAGCTGGCCAGTTTCTCTTCGCTATCCTCCAGCTTCCCTGTCACAGTCAGGGCCTGCTTCACCTTCAAGTTAGTTTCTCTAAAGGAGGAAGAGAGTAGGATGAGAAACACAGAGAGCTGATACAATAAAAGCATGCAGTGAAATATCTCTGGTGTCAAAGGTACACACACAAACATGCAAACACATGCACGCATGCAACACACAGAGACACACCCATCTAGTTCTGCTGTTTCTATGTAGACGAGGTTGAGAGGCTCACTGCTGGACAGCAACAGAAGATCAGCCTGGAGAAGGAGTGATATAAAAAAATTGAGAGTGAGAGAGAGAAAGCAAAGAGAGCACTACAGAATGTTATTGTGAAACCCAATAAATGATGACTTACTTGAAATATAAATGTTAGATTTTCTATTTTGTAGAATGACTGGTGAAATACACTGGCTGATTGTATTTCTGATGTACATCTGCCCTGTGACCTTATCACCCTCCACAAACACCTCTACCACCTCCATCCTTACCGTGACAAACTGATTATTCTCCAGCTTGATGATGTCCCCAACTTGAACATCCATCCACCTTTCCCTCTTAAGTCTGAAAAGAGCAAGAATGTAATGACACAGCGCAAAAGCAAGGTTACAGTGACCTCTGGTGTTTGAGAACGCTAACAACGTATGTTGTGCAGTTGAGAGTCGAGTGGAGACTAATGGATTCAGTAACTGAACAAAAATATAAAAGCAACATGTAAAGTGTTGGTCCCATGTCTCATTAGCTGAAATAAAAGATCCCATAAATGTCCCATATGCACAAAAAGCTAATTTCTCTAAAATGTTGTTCACAAATTTGTTTACATCCCTGTTAGTTAGCATTTCTCCTTTGCCAAGACATTCCACCCACCTGACATGTGTGGCATATGAAGAAACTGATTAAATAGCATGATCATTACACAGGTGCACCTTGTGCTGGGGACAATAAAGGGCCACTCTAAAATGTTCCGTTTTGTCACACAACACAATGCCACAGGTGTCTAAAGTTTTGAGGGGGCGTGCAACTGGCATGCTGACTGCAGCAATGTCCACCAGAGCTGTTGCCAGAGAATTGAATGTTAATTTCTCTACCATAAATTGCCTCCAACGTTATTTTAGAGAACTTGGCAGTACGTCCAACCGGCCTCACAATCGCAGACCAAGTGTAAGCACGCCAGCCCAGGACCTCCACATTTGGCTTCTTCACCTGCGGGACCGTCTGAGACCAGCCACCCGGACAGCTAATGAAACTGTGGCTTTGCACAACTGAAGAATTCTGCACAAACTGTCAGAAACCGTCTCAGGGAAGCTCATCTGCGTGCTCGTCGTCCTCAATAGTGTCGTGACCTGACTACAGTTCAGCGTCGTAAACCGAGTTCAGTGGGCAAATGCTCACCTTCGATGGCCACTGGCACGCTGGAGAAGTGTGCTCTTCACGGATGAATCCCGGTTTCAACTGTACCGGGCAGTCTGGACTAATCATGATCCTATTGGTGTCACCTGTGTCTACCTGTTCACCTGTGTATTTATGCCCTCACTTCCCATTTTTCTCTGTTGGTTTCTCTATGCTCAGCAGTACTAATCAGTGTCTGATCGGAGACGTATGTACAGGTACTCGAGAAATGTTCTCCCTGTTTCTTTATTATTTCAGTCGTAGTTATTACTATTTCGCATTTTGGCTGTCAGCCTGTTTTTGGAAACGTATTTGCCCCGCCTTTCTTTTATCGTCATAAGTACGTAATTTTGTATCCTGGCTTCGGGACCACCAGTAAAGATCCTTGTTTCACCATCTCTGCTTACTGCCTACTGTCTATCCTGCACCGCACCTGGGTCACACCTCCAACCCTTACATGTTTCAGCATAATAATGCACGGCCCCATGTCTCAAGGATCTGTACACAACTCCTGGAAGCTAAAGATGTCCCAGTTCTTCCGTGGCCAGACATGTCACCCATTGAGCAGGTTTTGGATGCTCTTGATCGACGTGTACGACAGCGTGTTCAAGTTCCCACCAATATCCAGCAACTTCACACAGCCATTGAAGAAGAGTGGGACAACATTCCACAGGCCACAATCAACAGCCTGATCAACTCTATGAGAAGGAGATGTGTCTGGTTACACCAGATACTGACTGGTTTTCTGATCCATGCCCCTACCTTTTTTAAAAGATATCTGTGACCAACAGATGCATATTTGTATTCCCAGACATGTGAAATCCATAGATTAGGGCCTAATGAATTTATTTCAATTGACTGATTTCCTCATATGAACTGTAACTCAGTAAAATCTTTGAAATTGGCACAGTGTGTCCTATCCGCCCACTGTCCTGCATTAAGGAGAGGGAAGTAGCTAGATAGTGTAGCCAATATCAGGGTGACAGCTAAAGGACATTTATTGTAGTGATTTTCACTGTAAATGTAGCCTGCAACTACAGCATTAACGTCTACATTTTTATTTAAAATAACGAACAATTACTCCTATAAAAACGGAATGATTCTGAAAACTCTCCGAAGTCCCAACATCGGCAGACAAGTTTCAAATTCTCACAGAAGTTTCTAGCCACAAGCATCAACTAAGCTAGCTGAGGAGGTCTCATTATGATGACTGACTGAACCGAATCCGTTCGTCCCCACTAAACTCTAGCTGCGCCACATACGTCATCAACTTTGGGCATCAGGAGTATCCTTATAGCCTCTCCCTCTCAAGACTGTAGCTAATCTGTGACATTCAAGCACTTTCCAAGCACTGAGAACCTAGTTTACACAAAAGGAAAATACTCACTCTCCATCGATGAGGACTTCCACCTTCCGGTTGTTTACCTGTTTGTCACATATGTGTCTGTTCTACACAGGTGAAGGAAATGGAAAGAGAATGAGGATTTGGAGACCAGGACATCTACATAATTGTGAGAACAAACAGGTCTATGTGGACCATCTCCTGCATGCGGTCTTAATACTGTAGTTAGTAGATGTTGAGCTCACCATGTCGTCGCTGCCGTCCTTGGCCATGGTCATGGAGAGCACCAGGACCAGGGGGACCACGGTGGTGTACCAGGACAGGGACGAGACCTCTGGGATGAGCTGAGAGGAGCCAGGAGAGACAAAACATCAGCAGGGACTCACCTTTCTGCTGCTGTACCATACACAGAGTGTACAAAACATTAAGAACACTTGCTCTATCCATTACATTTTACATTGTAGTCATTGTGGACCACCCATACGTAAAAATTTATGCACACATGACTGTAAGTCGCTTTGGATAAAAGCGTCTGCTAAATGACATATTATTTACCAGACACTCTTATCCAGAGCGACTTACAGTAGTGAGTGCATACATTTTCATACTTTGTTTTGTTTCATGACATAGACTGACCAGGTGAATCCAAGTGAAAGCTATGATCCCTTATTGATGTCACTTGTTAAATCCACATTAATCAGTGTAGATGAAGGGGAGGAGACGGATTAAAGAAGGACTTTTAAACCTTGAAACAACTGAGACATAGATTGTGTATGTGTGCCATTTAGAAGGTGAATGGGCAAGACAAAATATTTAAGTGCCTTTGAACGGGGTATGGTAGTACAGTAGGTGCCAGGCGCACCGGTTTGTGTCAAGAACTGCAACGCTGTTGGGTTTTTTCACGCTCAACAGTTTCCCATGTGTATCAAGAATGGTCCACCACCCAAAGTACATTCAGCCAACTTGACACAACTGTGTCATTGGAGTCAACATGGGCCAGCATCCCTGTGGAACGCTTTCGACACCTTGTAGGGTCCATGCCCCGACGAATTGAGGCTGTTCTGAAGGCAAAGGGGGGGGGGGGGGGGGGGGGGGGGGGTGCAACTTAAAATTAGGAAGGTGTCCTTAATGTTTTGTACACTCAGTGTATATTACTCTATATAAAGCCAGCTCCATTGGCATGAAGGAGCTTATGTGGATACTATGAAGAAATACACATTTGCACTCAGAGTCTATGTAAGTTTTTTGTATATTTCAGGAGTTTGAAAATGTGTACAACAATTTCCTTGATTTGTGTGGATAAGCTGAAAGATAACTGGATAAGATATTATCATTAGTCTAAAACAAATGAGTTCAGATAAGCATATCTGATGTCTGTTGAAAGCCAGTGAAGATGTCCAATCACATGTACATTGTCTCATACTGATGTTGTCCTAGAAGGTATAGTATGTAGGCCTACAGTCCCAGTGCAATTTGTCTACAGGCCTCAGCCCTGTGCAGCACTGAGAGGACAAGGCTTAGAGTGGCTGCATTATAAGACTGTGTAAGGGTTACCTGGAGACAGAGGAGGAAGAGGAAGTAGGCATTGGCCAGTCTTTGGAACTGCTCAAACAGATTGAGCGGGAGAAAGGTGAAGATGTTGTATTTGGAGGTTTTGATGGCATTGTCCTGTATGGGGAGCAAGAGGGGAACGTGTTACTGTGACAAATACACATGAAAACATACAGTATATAACATGCATACAACGTATACACAGACACACATTATGTAAACATTGGCTTGGAATGAATAATCAAGCCCAGTACTCACAGCATACTTGTAAGACAAGTTGAGTTCTCTGTCATTTGCTCGCAGGTGTCTTTCTTCCTCTGTAGGTGGAAACACAACATCATTTAAAGATCACAGGTGTTGCATTAAAAGCATCAACCTTACCACAAATAAACTCTGGCTTTAGCACACTTTACGGCTGGGACACAGATAGTCTGATCACAGGTGTGGCAGTAAAATAATAAACTCTGCACCAGCGTTGGGACCAGACATCAGCAGGTAATTTAACTCGCCTTTCACTTCCTTCTCCCCACACTCCAGACCAAACTGTGACAGTAGGGACCCCATGTTCAGCTCAACACTTCCATATTACACCTGGGAGAAAAAACAGATGGGTGATGTGGAATAATAGCCAGAAAAATCATGGAATAATAGGAAAACTCATTATCTAAAATGATGAGAAGCAAGGATGGGAAAATTCCTGACCATGATTTCTTCATACAAGTGCAGTGCAGCTACAGTATACTGTAACCGTTTTATGACAGGAACAGTCTCATCTACTCTAGTAATCTATACTCTCTAACCAATGTGTAGAACAGCTATAATCGTATTATGACATGTTCATGGTGAGCCTTGCAGTGATGTACTAATTTAGTAATGTCATTGGTAACAACCACTCTTATCAGTTTTACACTATTGATGAGAACGATAATTAGTTACTCAATGCCCCCACCTCCATAAATATATCCACATGTACACATAGACAAAGGCACACACCTGTTCCCTAAACAAAGAGTGAGCTTCCTATCTAAATGAACACAGAGAATTGACTCTTAGGTGAAATTGAGCGACATTACAGCATTGATAATGTTACAGAGGTGCTCTAATGGGCTTTATAAGGATAACCTTTTAAGTTTTGGACAAGGAGCAGGTTTCTATGAACAGGTTTCACATACACAGATTAAATGGATCCTGGAGGAGGCCTAATTCAATAACTAAATCAGGGACTCTTGAAAGTCAGGACAATCCTTGTCTGGCAGGGAAACGTCATTATGCATTATTTGAGATAAATAAAATACATTTAGTGGAATTTTCTAAATATTTTTTATATTATTCACTTCCATGTCGTTCTATGCCCGGAGCAAAGGATCCCAATTTCAAACTCTTAAAAAAAGTGTTTAAAATTCTAAAAACTGACAGTAATGAATATTAACTGGAAAAAGATACTATGTCGTCTGTTGAAATAACCCTCTGTGACTTTTTTTTTTTTTTTTATCTCAAACTGTGATTCCTAAAAAATTTGTCAGGAGATTTGGGCAACTCCGTCAGATTTGTTTAAATTCCTAAATGAATCATCATGAATGAACAGAGCCAGCTATACCATAAGTACCCCACGGGGTGATCCCACTGGCTATAAGGTGAATGCACCAATTTGTAAGTCGCTCTGGATAAGAGCGTCTGCTAAATGACGTAAATGTAAATGTAAATGTACCCCTTTTTCCTTTACTCAATGCATGTAGTGCAACAAGACCACTGATGGTCTGTACATTTATCTACCTTTGATAGATTTAAACAACCAATATTGGTCACAACCTTAAACTGTCAATTCTACTGTGTTTTATATATATATTTCCAGACTATGAGATTGGAATAAAACTTTGAAAATGATGATAATGCCCCTTTAGGGTAAGAGAAGTTTGATAAGACTGCCTGAAATTTCAGCCTGTTTGGGTCGGATGGAGTTTTGGCCTGCCAGGTGACATAGTTAAATTAGGTAGGTAGCCTAGCGGTTAAGAGCATCGGGCTATTAACCGAAAGGTCGCTGGTTTGATTCCCTGAGCCGACTAGGTTAAAAATATGTCAATGTGCCTTTGAGCTCCTGTGAGCACTCTGGATAAGAGCGTCTGCTAAATGACTAAAATGTAAATAAGAGAGTTCCAAACCTCTCTGCTAATAAGAGCTAGTTTTCCCCTCCTCACTCAGACCACTCCCAGACAGTCCTACAAATATTCTTGCTTTAGAAATTGCTCTTTGCTAAGAAGCATTTTTAAAATGTATTTTTACAATTTACAATATGTAACTTTTTGGGTGACCCGACCAAATTCGGAAAGACGTGTGTTATACAGTGGGGAAAAAAATAATTTAGTCAGCCACCAATTGTGCAAGTTCTCCCACTTGTAATTTTCATCATAGGTACACGTCAACTATGACAGACAAAATGAGAAATCCAGAAAATCACATTGTAGGATTTTTAATGAATTTATTTGCAAATTATGGTGGAAAATAAGTATTGGTCACCTACAAACAAGCAAGATTTCTGGCTCTCACAGACCTGTAACTTCTTCTATTTCTATGTTTGTATTTCTGTTGGGTTCATTTCTATGTTTGGTCAATGACTCCCAATCGGAGGTAACGAGTGTCAGCTGTCGGCTCGTTATCTCTGATTGGGAGCCATATTTAATCTGTATGTTTTCCTGTGGGTGTTGTGGGTTTTTGTTCCGTTTCGGTATGTTTAACCGTTGGACTTCACGAGTCGTGTTTTGGTTTGTTCGTTACTTTAATTAAAATAAAGTCATGTTTGTATCACACGCTGCGCCTTGGTCCGCTTCCTGTAACGACGATCGTGACAGAAAAACCCACCAAGATGGGACCAAGCAGCGTGTCCAGGAGCCATCGCCAGGGAGATCCCTCACAGATCTCCTTCGCCTCCTGGACTGGGTCAAGCCGAGTGAGGAAGAGAGGGGCTTGACATTATGGCAGAAGGGCGAGAAGCTGGCGAGGGACATGGAGACCTGGGCCACGGGTAGGAGAGACGCCCCGAAAATTTTTAGGGGGGGGCTCACGACGGCGGACCAGCAGGAGGCTGCGATAGAGCGGCCCAGTGGGTTGCCGGAGAAGGACGCCGGGTTACGGGGGCCACTGGTCGAAGAGGGGATGGAGGATGTAGAGGCACGGCGAGAGGTACTGGGGTGTGTTACCAGTCCGGTCCGGCCCGTTCCAGATCCCGAGGTAGAGCCAGTGGTGTGTGTCCCCAGTACGGTCCGGCCTGTTCCAGCCCCTCGCACCAAGTGTACGGTGCGCGTCGCCAGCCCAGCCCGGCCTGTCCCTGCTCCCCGCATCAAGTCTGTGGTGCGTCTCGTCAGCCCGGCTCTGCCCGTTCCTGCTCCCCGCACCAGGTCTGTGGTGCGCTTCGTCAGCCCGGTTCTGCCCGTTCCTGCTCCCCGCACCAGGTCTGTGGTGCGCTTCGTCAGCCCGGTTCTGCCCGTTCCTGCTCCCCGCACCAGGTCTGTGGTGCGCTTCGTCAGCCCGGCTCTGCCCGTTCCTGCTCCCCGCACCAGGTCTGTGGTGCGCTTCGTCAGCCCTGTCCGGCCCAGTCCTGCTCCCCGCACCAAGTCTGTGGTGCGTGTCGTCAGCCCTGTCCGGCCCGTTCCTGCTCCCAGCACCAAGTCTGTGGTGCGTTTCGTCAGCCCTGTCCGGCCCGGTTCCGCTCTCCGCACCAAGTCAGGGGTGCGCTTCGTCAGCCCGGTCCGGCCCATTCCTGCTCCCCGCGCCAAGGCAGTGGTGCGCGTCGTCAGCCTGGTAAGGCCCGTTCGTCCTCCACGCACCTAGCCAGAGGCGCGTGTCGTCAGTCCGGCTCCGGCCAGCGGGGCTAGACAGGACCAGGGGTACTTTGGGGGGTGGGAGAGGAGGTGGGGATCAAGGCCAGAGCCAGAGCCACCGCCGAGGAGGTATGCCCACCCAGCCCTCCCTTGTTTAGCCCCTATTGAGGCGCGGTCGCAGTCCGCGCCTTTAGGGGGGGGGTACTGTCACGCTCTGGCTCCGGGACTCTGTAATTTGTGCCAGGGTGTGTTCATTCATTGGGTGTATTTCTATGTTTGTATTTCTGTTGGGTTCATTTCTATGTTTGGTCAATGACTCCCAATCGGAGGTAACGAGTGTCAGCTGTCGGCTCGTTATCTCTGATTGGGAGCCATATTTAATCTGTATGTTTTCCTGTGGGTGTTGTGGGTTTTTGTTCCGTTTCGGTATGTTTAACCGTTGGACTTCACGAGTCGTGTTTTGGTTTGTTCGTTACTTTAATTAAAATAAAGTCATGTTTGTATCACACGCTGCGCCTTGGTCCGCTTCCTGTAACGACGATCGTGACACTTCTTTAAGAGGCTCCTCTGTCCTCCACTCGTTACCTGTATTAATGGCACCTGTTTTAACTTGTTATCAGTATAAAATACACCTGTCCACAACCTCAAACAGTCACACTCCAAACTCCACTATGGCCAAGACCAAAGACACCAGAAACAAAATTGTAGACCTGCACCAGGCTGGGAAGACTGAATCTGCAATAGGTAAGCAGCTTGGTTTGAAGAAATCAACTGTGGGAGCAATTATTAGGAAATGGAAGACATACAAGACCACTGATAATCTTCCTCGATCTGGGGCTCCACGCAAGATCTCACCCCGTGGGGTCAAAATGATCACAAGAACCACACGTGGGGACCTAGTGAATGATCTGCAGAGAGCTGGGACCAAAGTAACAAAGCCTACCATCAGTAACACACTACGCCGCCAGGGACTCAAATCCTGCAGTGCCAGACGTGTCCCCCTGCTTAAGCCAGTACATGTCCAGGCCCGTCTGAAGTTTGCTAGAGTGCATTTGGATGATCCAGAAGAGGATTGGGAGAATGTCATATGGTCAGATGAAACCAAAATAGAACTTTTTGGTAAAAACACAACTCGTCGTGTTTGGAGGACAAAGAATGCTGAGTTGCATCCAAAGAACACCATACCTACTGTGAAGCATGGGGGTGGAAACATCATGCTTTGGGGCTGTTTTTCTGCAAAGGGACCAGGACGACTGATCCGTGTATAGGAAAGAATGAATGGGGCCATGTATCGTGAGATTTTGAGTGAAAACCTCCTGTCACGGTTTCGGCCGAGACTGCTCCTCCTCCTGGTTCGGGCAGGCTTCGGCGTTCGCCGTCCCCGGAGTACTAGCTGCCACCGTTGAATGTTTCGTGGTGTGATTGCTTTGGTCTGTCTTGTACACCTGTGTCTGTTTGTGTTCTGATTACGTGTCCTATAAGTTCCCTGTTTTGCATTGGTTAGATTGTGTGTTGTTTTCGCCTGTCCTTAGTGCTGCGTGTTTTTGTATCTGTTTTCTTGTTTATTTTGCTTTACGCATAGTTTGCGTATTGCTCGCCTCTGTTTTATTGTTGAGGCCGTTTACTGTATTTTGCCAATTGGTTTCTCAGTAAACTTTGTTGGACTAGCTTCGGTGTCCTGCGCCTGACTTCCACACTTCACACACCTCAGCCCTTGACACCTCCTTCCATCAGCAAGGGCATTGAAGA